GGATCCAAGACGGACTCCTCGGGTGGAAATGAGGGAGGGGGCGACGGTGGGTGGACAAGGAGGACGAAGGGTGGGGAAGAAAGTCTTCTCCTACCCTGGAACTGTGCAAAAACTAGGAATAGTGTTGTAATATTGGTACCAAGAGTTACTTTAGGCTTTAATTTTAGTTTTAAACCGAGCTTTTGCAGCACTGGTGCCTGTGCCAATCCCCCCTCCGCCTTCCCCTTGGATCTCTCTATGTCTCAGAAGCACTCAAAATTGTTATAGCGATGGTCTAGCGATTCTGACAAATTCGTAGAAATTTTCTTACTCATTCTGTAACAGCCACCAAGCACAGAAAATGAGGAGTTCCAGGAGCTAATCATGGGCAAACGTAGTAGTTGCGGCATCAGAAAGTTATCATGTAGTATTCGCAGAAATTAGTGCTATAATCCATAGCAGTCAACTTTTGGCCGCTGTCTAATTTCGGTAAAATAGCGCAGTAAGGCGCCGAACATCACAATTTTTCCAGACAATGCAAAGATTGTCGCATGAGCCATATTTTGCACAAACCACTGGCCAATACTGGCAGCCCAGAATTTGGCTTGTTCGAGTACCATGTAGTCGCATGCTGTCAAATTGAGCTGTAGCCATAACTCCGAATATTTGAAGTTCGGCATAAACAATATCGACATACCGATCAGCAGCTGGAAACAACATCAACCAGAAACATGTGGTCAGCATCAAAAAACGTTGACCAGAAGGGATGGTCACTTTTTCATGCTCAGGTCAAACAGAAAAAAGTTGCTGGTAATTAAAAAAGTGAAAAAACCGGTGAAACAGTGCAGAATTGGGTCAAACTCGTGCAAAGATCTAACCCAAACGAATGAAATTAGTTACAAAAAAGCCGCTAAAAGCATGAAGGGCTTGATCTTCTTTGGTGAGATAAAAATCGAAAAAAAAAACTTAAATTTCGTTAAGTAAATAGGGGCCGGAACTGTTACTTGATGCTCCCATTAACATCACTAAAATGAGATCCCCATACCGACTGTCTGTGCTTTCTTTAATGCCATTGTAGTAATAACTGAAATTAGGGACATTAGAAGGCTAACATAGTCGATCGATTCCCACGAAGCGTCAGCGGAAACGGACGAGTTCGCCCAGCTGTAGAATGCAGGGATTGATAATGCAACGGTTGTCAAACCTGAAAAAGGGCTCGTAGTGATGAGGTCCAGCTGCGGTACCGGAAAGGGATGCAAACGACTTAATTTTATTATTACATCTAGCACATCCACCTCCTTTTAATTACAAAAATACTTTGATCAGCTACAATCCATATAGGGTGTTTTTCTCCAACTAGACAGCTCACAACCTGCCCAACTGCTTTGACCACTGTTACATTACCCAGTGTTCAGCGTACTGTTGCTGCTTGCA